TCCATCATATCAATCAAAGATATGAAGGAAAGCTTGTGTGAGAATTAGTGGAATTCTTAGTGAATGGTTCAACATTGACCATGGACTAAGACAAATTGTATCATATCTACTTAAATATACTTACAACAAGGTATAAAGAATACTCGCAATGACATTAGAGGTTTGCTGATCTTGATTCTTGAATTTATGTGTACTTATATATATGTAGACAATGCTGTGTTGTTGTCTTACAACCTAAATGACTGCAGTGAGAAATAGTGACATAATGCCATGTGTTTTACAAAGAAAATGAAGTGAACAAACAAGTATACACGAATAGAAAAAAAGAAATATAGCAAGTAGATTGTCACAGGGTGGCTGGGTTTAATTTGAACTGGAAATGTATTATGATTTCCAGTAAGATAAAACAGTGGAGGAATTTATGCTTTTTTAGTATTTACAGTAGCAAATATATTGACAAATATTTATAGGTGTATACAACACAATTGTGGTGTTCAGCCATTATCAGGTTTCCTCCTAAGTATCCTTCCTAGAGATTGTCCCCCTCTAGCTCTCCTGCTTCTTGCCCTTTTCATTCACACTCCCTCCCCCATTTCTGGGCTTATCAAGGGAGAGTGAAAAGAGACGAATGGGTGGGATTTACTGTAATGTGTTCAACACTGTTTGATTTTTAATAATAATAATTTTATTTCTGTACCGCCCTTCTCCCGAAGGACTCAGGGCGGTGTACAGCCTATTTAAAAACACAGACAAAACAACAATGTAAAATTTAAAATAATTAAATAAATTGGCTCAGATTTAAAACCCCAAAAAATTTAAATACCCCAATTTAAAACTATTGTGTTGATAGTCCGGCCTGGCGGAACAGGGTCTTCAGTGCGCAGCGAAACACCCGGAGGTCGGAGATCTTACGAATTTCTGGGGGCAGTTCGTTCCACAGGGCTGGGGCTCCCACAGAGAAGGCCCTCCCCCTGGGTGTCGCCAGCCGACATAACTTGGCCGATGGCACCCTGAGGAGACCCTCTCTGTGGGAGCGAACTGGTCGGTGGGAGGCTATTGGTGGCAGAAGACGGTCTCGGAAGTACCCGGGTCCTATGCCATGGAGCGCTTTAAAGGTGGTAACCAACACCTTGAATCGCACCCTGAAGACCACTGGGAGCCAGTGCAGCTCGCGCAGGAGGGGTGTCACATGGGCACAACGGGTTTTGTCCTAGAACTGCTCAACTGAACACCTACTGCTTCTCCTTTGGAAGAAGACCTTCTCTCAGAGTCTTCAGCTCAATCCTTCCCCATTAGCAGGGCTTTGCCAACAACAAAAATCCTGTTTTGGGTCTTGGGTGAAGATGCCACCTCCAGCCTATCGGGTCCCTCCTTCCTTATATCTTGCATGAAGCTGTAATCTCTCTAGTGTCCCTATGCAAATTGGGGTGGGGGGAGGAGGACTGGAATGTGGGTGGAGGGCCAGCTGAGAATGAACATCTGCAATAGATTGACTGCGATAGGGCCCCCCCACCCATGGTGAAGTAGACGCAGCAATGTGACCGTGGTCAATAGTTCCATTCCATCCTAAGGCCCACTACTGAATTATAGGACTAGTGAATACCACTTACATCAGTAGAAAACTGCATTGGTATGAAAAAATAAAGTCTTTATTGCATTCTCCAACCTCCTTCTACTGTCTCAGCATTTTGCCAGTCATATAACTTCTATCCAAGGTCAAGATAACTAATAGGTTTTGCACAATTCGAAGTTGCCCTTGGACAATGTAAGAGAAAAGAGAAAATACTGTTTTTACTATAATGAAGGACAAATTGAGCCTGTCCCACTCATGGGCTTGGCATGAAATGAAGGCATAGCATGGAAACATGGCAAAAGAAAGAAATTTCCAGGACACGTTTCTACTAAGGTTAGATGTGAGCCACAGATCAATAAACTGAGCTCATAGTTCAAATTGAACTGGTGAATCATAGCGTGCAAATTTACTATGATTTATTTGATTTGTACTGTTACCTTTCTGCTTCAAGAACAAATTGGACAACCATTTGTCTGGAATGGTATAGGGCAGTGATGGCTAACCTTTTTGCCATCACGTGCCAGGAGGGGGGGCAGGGGAGGTCGTGTGCGTGCATGCCCACACCCATAATTTTATGTGCCCCGCCCCTGCGCACGTGACACCACCACTCCCGCTCCTGGCACACGATGGCCCAGTAGGCCCGTTTTTCTCTCTCACCTGGCTCCAGAGCCTTTATAGGAGTCTGAGGAGCACGAAAAGACCTTCCCCACCCCCCCCTGGAAGCCCTCCAGAGGCCAGAAATGTTTGCCAATTTCCAGTGGGACTGGAAGGCCCAAAAATCAGGTGGCTGGCGCGCACATGCACGCCAGAGCTGACCTCACATGCCCACTGATATGGCTACGCGTACCACAGGTTCGCCATCACGGGTGTAGGGTCTCCTGCTCGAACAGGGGTTGGAGAAGACTTCCAAGGTCCCTTCCAAATTGGCTGTTCATTGATTATCTCCAAGCTTATTTTTAATGTGCAGCCCAGTTTTTCTTGATTACTTTTCCCTTTGCTACATGACTTGTATAAACACGATTGCCAGCCCACATGCATGAACTAGCTATCCAGTTTAACAGCTGTATCAACTTGCAGTGTCATTTCATCTCCAATCACTGATAATCAGGCCAGAGTGGTTAGTCATGTGTGCTTCATTTTCTCTCTTAACAATATCAGAGAAGTCATATGATACTCTGGGAATTTTCACTATGGGTTGTTTTTCACTGAACAGGCTACCTGCCTTAAGGCCCACAGTGTATTCTTACTCCCAAGTTTTGGAAAGCATCACACTCACTTCATGAGAAATGCCTCTCAAGCAAATTTGACATTTTGCTGAACAGCAGAATATCATCTTAATCTGAAAATTCCTTGTAAACAATTATCTGTACAGTGATTGTCAGAACTAGGCTTCTACATTTTAGCCACAGGATGGAATAGCGGCTAAAGGAGTATTCCCGTAAATACCTCTTGCAGTTTAAGGGGGTCAGCCTCCCTAGAACTGTAGACCCTCTTCACACTCATGTGGCCTATGATGTTAAAACAAGAAAAGATCCCATGTCAGCCAGTGGAATCCTGGGTGTGTTGCTGTATCCACAGACCTGTTTTGATATATAGTTGTAGAGCACAGCTATTGACTATGTGGATGGGATATGATACAGTTGGGCGGTTTCCCCATCCATCCTATACAATCTTGACTGCTATATAGAAATTATCCAAACTGTTCTTCCATGTATTTCATAGCATACTGGATTCTGGGTAAGTGACACAATACTTGTGTCTACTAATTCACTGAGCAAAGTGAATTTGCCCTTTCTGTAGGGCAAAGGAGGCAAAGAGGTGAGAGAAAAAATAGCTACAGGTTTGACATTTGAACTCAAATCAAAGACAAATAGTATCAGAGCATTTCAACGTCCCAGGACACTGCACTGCATCTCTTGTAGACTTGTTGGAAAAGAGCAACACAACTGAGCCAAAGACTACTAGTCAAAAGGTTTCAGACTATTTCAGAAAGTCTCAACAAACACCAGGGATTTTAAAAACATTAAGGTAATCTGTCTCACAGTAATCTACCCGTCTAGCTACCCTCATTTTCTCTCCTTCTCATCTCCATTTAAATCCTGTATCAGTTTAGCCACTCCATTGCATCAGATGAAGTGAGGAGCTGCTGGGGAATGTGTCTGCCTCTTAATAAAATGTGTCACATAATTTGACAAAACACTACGGCATTCTTCATTTTTGATTGTAAAAGCTTTTCTGCTACAGTTCTCTAGCATGTCTCCAAGTCATGGTTGGTGAGATGTTTTCTTCCATTACCCACAGCCCCCCCAATTGAGCCCAACATTTCCATTGTTAAGTGAGACATTTGTTAAGTGAGTTTTGCCTCATTTCACGACCTTTCTTGCCACAGTTGTTAAGCGAATCACTGCATTTGTTAGTAACCTGGTTGTTAAGTGAATCCGGCTTGCCCATTGACTTTGCTTGTCAGGAGCCTGCAAAAGATGATGACCCCATGACCTTGGGAGACAGCAACCATCATAAATAGGAACCAGTTGTCAAGCATCTGAATTTGGATCACATGATCCTGGGGATGGTGCAAAGGTCGTAACTGTGAAAAACCGTCATAAGCAGTGGTGGGATTCAGCCAGTTCGCACTACTTCGGGAAACCGGTTGTTAACTTTCTGAGCAGTTTGGCAAACTGGTTGTTGGAAGAAATCATTAGGGCAGAGAACCGGTTGTTAAATTACTTGAATCTCACCACTGGTCATAAGTCACATTTTTCAGTGCGGCTGTAACTTTAAATGGTCACTAAATGAACTGTTGTAAGTCGAGGACTACCTGTATTACTTCTCTTCTACTTTCTCTCTGCCCGGAGAGGGGGGAAAAAACCCGCACACGTTACAAACGGTACTTACAAAGTATTTTGCAAGCTAAACGCAGGGCTGCTCCGATTTTGAAAAACGCCACCTCAACGTATTGGTGGTATTTCGAAACTATTCCGAAAATGGTGACAACCAGGTTCTAGCGCGCAACCCACCTGCAAGCCTATCAAAAGCCTTCTGTCTGTGGCTGTCTGAACCTTTCCTCAACCTCTATCATGCAATATATAAATACGGGGCGCGGGGGAGCAACGAAGCCGATTGCAGACTGAGCTCAAAGTATTACAAAAGCGGCAAAAACTACAAGACGGGTTGACGGCTGACGTCTTTGCTTTTCTTGCCCAAAGACGGGCAACTCCCCCCTTCCCACCTCGGAGCTTCCCAGAAGAAAGTCTTTCTCCCCCCCCCCCCCCCATTGCGACTTCTCAACCACCACCGCAAACTTCGAGGCCGCCCCGCCGATTTGGCCGGCCGCCAAGTGGGTTGGAGCTGGGCGGTGTTTACAAGCCAGCTGACTGGCGGGAGCCGAACAAGCAAGTTTGTTGCTTGTTTGGCTAAAGGCTGAGGAAGAACCGCCACGTTTTCGGTCCCCCCACCCTCCCTTTGACGGGTAAGGCAAAGAGAGCGGCGTCCTGAGGGGAGGGGGGGGGGAAGAGAGAACCAGGTGGACGTGCTCCGGGAACAGGGACCAGTCGCCGGTGCTTTCTACGCTTCTCAGAAGGGGAAAACCCCGGAACAAGTGAGTTCTGCGGTGGAGTTGGGGGTCGTGTGCCGGGAAAAAGATAAAGCCCTTTCAAAGAATTGGCAGAATGCAGAGGGATAAAAAGAACGCCGCGCATTCGTGTCCTCCCATCCTTGTGAGTGTTCCCGCCTCCTCCGTTGTACTATGCGGAGTTTGGGAGTGGATAAGCGTTGAATGGGATTTACTACGTAGACTTGTGAGGGGGCGTCTGCTCTACCATTTCAAATGGTAAGAAGAGACCCCGCGCGCTTTCTTGGAATGTTTGTATTCTCATTAATTTACAGAGAGATTTCCGTATAGCCCACCGAGGGTTCCCAGAGAAAAGCTGAAAAAGCTACAACACCGTAACTCACTATTCAAAATCGGATTCAGGGTAAATCATCGGGACTGACTTGGGGTGCATTGCTCCACTTGGTAGATGCTGGGCCCATAGGTTTTGCGTTCCTTCTTTTTACAGTGGGCTGTGCTCTTGGCCTGATAGTGTCTACTATTTCTATTTCTAATTCGTATTTTTATTTTTATTTTTTTATTGTAAATCACTTCAAAAAGTTCTGGAAAAACTTCTGCGCTTTTAAGTACTTAACCTAGCAAGGGAATTTATTGAACTCTGGTGGGTGTGTTTCTCCAAAGATGAATACAAGATTTCACTGCTAAAGCAGTAGTTAATTTAAATATCAACATGGATAAGGCGTGTCAGCCTTGTAGTGTTCAAAACTATAACATGTCCCAGTCCACAACTGAAAAATTAAAGATAAAATGGGGGAGGGAGGATTAAATAGAATTTAAATTAGAAGCCTAGAAACACTGGGTCAAAACTTAATTTGGAAGAAGCACTATATTAATTATATTTAAGATTGTTTTAATGAATAGAACATTGCTGATTATCTTTTAATAATGTCTTTTATTTTTATCCCACCTTTATTATTTTTTACAAATAACTAAAGGCAACAAACAAACCTAATATCCTTCCTCCTATTTTCCCCACAACAACAACAACAATGACTCTGTGAGGTGTGTTGGGGTGAGACAGTGACTGGTCACCCAGCAGGCTTTCAAACTTAAGGCAGGACTAGAACTTGCAGTCTCCCAGTTTCTAGCCTGGTGCCTTAACTTGGAATTTACCGTGTTTCATTTCTGATTCTGGCAGAAAGTTTAATTTCTATCACACAACTAGTATTTGATTTTCATACTGAAATGTGGTGGAAGACAGCATTTGTTAGAGAAGAATGAATTACTTCTGGACATAAGTTGGTGGTTTTTTTCCTGCTTGCTTTCCTATTTTTCAAGTCTGGTAGTTGGAGAACGTTGATTTGACTTTTTGTAGACAAGTATTTTTGCAACAGTTAATTAGAATGATATCATAAAATTGATTTTTATTGCTTATGAACAGCCATTTTCCATCCTGAACTGAAGCTTGTGCAGGAAAATATTAGCACTAGCAATAGCACTTTGACGTATGTACCACTTCATAATGCTTTATAGCCTTCTAAGTGGTTTACACAGTCAGCATATTGCTCCTAACAATCTGGGTCCTCATTTTACTGACCTCAGAAGGATGGAAGGCTGAGTCAACCTTGAGCCAGTGAGAAACTGTTGTTCAGTCAGCAGAATTAGCCCTGCAATACTGCATTCTAACCATTGTGACACCATATTTCTACATGGATAGAGCTGAAATGGTTTCCATAAACAACATAATATCTGAGAAAAATACAGTGTCCTAAAAACTGCAGCTATTTTGGCTATGATCTTATTTATCATAACGTATGCGTTTATTTCATATTTTATATATGCAACCAACATGTTTGTCAATTCTGTACAGTATTAGAACCAGTGTGGTGTGATGCTGGCCTAGAAACCTATAGATGGTGAGTTGTAAGCCTCTTTTAGGCATTAATGGATTGTTGTGGATAAAATAGGAAGAGGAAGGAGTTCCCTTGAGATATGTGTAAAAAAGATGAAAAAAATAAAATATTACAAAATTATTTTAATATAGATTTAAATAATGTATATTAAGTTCTCTGAATGTTAAAAAATATACACATGTATATGTGTATCCATATTTTGTGTAAAATACACAAAATAGGAGCCTGAATAGCTCTGCAGACTAAAAGCACTGTAATTTAACACTAGCTGTCTGCAATTAAAGTAAGTTCGAATCTTGCCAGGCTCAAGGTTGACTCAGCCTTCCATCCTTTCTAAGGTAGGTAAATTGAGGACCCAGTTTGTGGGGGGCAATAAGCTGACTTTGTATAAAATATACAAAAGTATGAAGGCTATTGCTTAACACACTGTGAGCCGCCCTGAGTCTCCGGAGAAGGGCGGCATATAAATAAAAAAACAAACAAACAAAAAACAAAACAAAAAAATACAGTTCCAGTTTAAAATAAAGGGATTTTCTCCCTTTGTAGAGAAAAGTTTTGAAAAGTTAAACTGAGCTGACAATATTTTTTAAAAAACAGTAAAATACCCTGAGTTCAGGCATAACAGTATTTTGTTACCACTATGAGTGAGAACTTGTATTGCGTGTTTTGACCGAATTCTCTATTAATATTTTTTTGTAGAATTCATCTAATTAAGAAAAAAAAAACCTACATACGAGGCAGTTAAAAAAAAAAGACAACGGTGAGTAAGGAAAGGGTAAAATGGATTAACACTATCATTTGGAAGGAAGTGGGTATTTTTACAATTCTTCTATTGTTGAGAGGTGATGTTTTACATCAGGCCTGTCAAACTGGCGGCCCACGGGCCAAATACATCACACGCAGGCCACGCCCACCCTGGCTCCACAAAGGCAAAAAACATCACGATATGTCATGATCCGGCCCGTGACACAATCGAGTTTGACACCCGTGTTTTACATCAATTTAACTGTTGTAAACTGCCAGGTGTTGCCCATTGATTAAAGTGGTACACTTAAAACCAAAACCTCAAATATTATAGCATAAAAATTGTTATAGTCCCCAATCCCATCCTGAAGTTTTACATTTCAGGTTTCCTTGTAGAAGCAATTGTTTGTCTGTAATGCTTAACTGAAGATGCTGGCCTAGAAATCAGGAGACTCTGAGTTTTAGGACTCTGGAAGGCCTGGGGTCAGTCAGTTTCTTTCAGCCCAGCTCACCACACATGGTGATGGTGGTTGTAGGGAAAATAGGAGACAGGAGCATTTGATGTTTGCTGCCTTGAGTTGACCCTCCCCCACAAAAAATGGCAGAATAAAAATCTAATAAGAAGAAGAACAATTTTAGGCCTCACATTTTTCATGAAGGATAGGCAAAGTCATGTTTATTTTAATTCTGTGATATGACACTCACATTATAAAATAATGGTGGGACAAATGATATAAGTCTTTTTTCTTTTACTTCCAAGTAGATCTTAATAATTTTGTATTGCTTTTCTTGTTCCTCAGTGTGCAATTTAATATCACTTTCACTGATCTTAAGCTACATTTGAAAGAGGCTAGTGGAAAGTGTAAAATACTATCTATTTCTGTGTGCATAATTCCAGTAGCCATTTGTGGAAGATATCGAGTTAATGATTTCACTGGATTTAGTGTTCCTTTGACCCAAAGTTGAACTGATTACAATTCACATGAGTAAATTTAAACTACCAGCTTTAATAGCCTTGTCACAATGGATACAGCCACTGAGAGAAGCCGACAATAGCAAATCAACAAAGCAAGAGAAAACCAATTTGAATTACTTGGTTGTAAAAGAAAAGCCAGTGTATAGTGCTGGAGAAGACCGACGTTCTAATCCTCCCTTAGGTACAGAAGTCAACTGTGTGACCTTGAACCAATCACTTCCTTTGGGGCCCAAAAACTTTGTTTTTGCAGTAATCTGGTCGAGAAACAAACTGTCATTGCCTCTTGTATCAATATGCTTTCAGATAAGAACTAGGAAAACATAATGAAAAACAGTGCATCCAGCTTTGTTGAAAAACAAAGCAACTTGAGTATAGAAGCTTAATTAAAAGGAGAAGAAAGTTGCCTCCCTATTAATCTGATGCTGATGTTATATGTGTCACTTATGAATAGCTGCAGGCTCTAAGTTTATTTAAGCAGTAGGTTAATCTGAAATCTCATTTGTTCAAAAATGATTTCATACTCCCAAGCAAACAGTATTTATGTGCTGGCTCTTCTTTGTAAATTTTTAAACCAGTATAGATTTCCTTCAAGCAATAAGCATTCCAATGGTATCCCAGAAGGATAGCCAAATGTTTATTCAGGATTTAGCAACCAGCAAGAAGTGGTTCTTTTGCAATTGCTAAGCACCATTGTGAATGAACTAGTAGTGTTGATTTAAAGTAGGTTTATCTGCTAATGGGATTTGAATTTGTTTATTCTTAAAGATTTCCTGCAGAAAAATTGTATCTGCTGGATTAGGAAAAAAAAAGTTCTGTGCCCCCTAAAAAGTTAATAAGTGTATTATAGTAGGCAATATATAGGCAATCGTACTACAAATAAACTTTTTAAAAAGAAAGTTCTTCGGTTCTTTTTCATATCCTTGAGTTCCTAGTTAACAAAAGGGAAAATATTAAATACAGCTTTGTCTGAATGAATGGAATTGAATAAATGTTAATTTCTTTTCAAAAATACCAATAGTTGAGGTTTGGATATAGTGCAGATTCCTCTGAGTAATTCATTTTACTTAGTTAAAAAGAACTTCCTTATTCTATTCCAAATATTTGAATTACTTCATAACTTCAGAATAAGAATTCTAGAGAACCGTAATCTCTGTTCTCAATCATGTCAGGCACTTTTGTTGACTCCAGAAATCTCTTAGTCTTGTGAGTCTGCCTATTAATGTTCTACATATTCTGGATAATTCTTATGGCAATTAGACAAATGAGCTACTTATATCAAAAGCTAAGGATGAGAAATGTAGCTAAATGAAACATTTAAGCATTTATTTTAAATGGGCAATTCTGCTAGAAAAAGTATTAAACTAGAGCTGGCCAAAAATAAGTGGTTTTATTTTATATGCAATAAGATGCTTATTGGAGAGACATTTCACTACACAGTGAAGTCTTTCATACTTGGACATATAAAGGTGAAATATAGTCAAGCCAGCTTCTGGTGCCAGGCAGCTTCCCAATAAACCACTTTTTCCTTGATGTTGGAAGCCTTACTATACACAGACACTCCTTAGGTTTCACATGACAAATATGTAGTTGTTTTACTGTAAGTACTTTCAAAGATATTGAACTAGGCTAAAAGCCATATAAATTTGCAACTGGGTACCTATTTTGTGTTCCTAATTTAAAAGACCAAAGAGCTAGTAAGAGCATATTTGTTTCCCAAAATCTTGCAAGATTTATGTAAGCCTAACAGAGATCTGCAGAAACACAGTGGATAATAGTCTGGTTCTCTAGAAATTCTGCTTTCTTTTAAGCACATCTGTTGAAGTTTAGTCTCTGGTCATAGAGACACAAACATCTCAAAAGGCTCTCAAATCAATCCACGGGGTCTTCCCCCCACACATGTGGAAAGACAGAAAATGTGTTCTCTTAGTCTTGTGAGTGTACCCATTACACTCACAACTTATTATGGAATAAGAGTGAAAATAATAGAAAGCCACCAGCATAATCACTAGCCAGAGACCAGCCAGATGAGCTTAATAAGTCCAGATACAACAAAACAGGAGCCAGTTAATGACATTGCTTATATTTTGAACATAATATTTAGTGTGCTTAATAGTGCTTATTTTTTCCCTGAATTTCTGTACAATTTCTGTACAAAGGACTGCTTTGAAGTCAAGATAGTGAAGATAAGTTGTGTGCCACATTTGTTTGAATCTTTCAGTTTTGGTATGCCTTCCTGCCTCAAAATAGTGAGAAATCATTTCATTATTTTTGGACAATTGAACAACTGTATTTTCAGGAGCCTCAGAAACAACAGAGAGGGAGGCTAAAGATACATTTAGCTTCATTTTTCAAACAGTATGTAAAAGCATATACAATATGTACATACAGTATGTACATATTACAATCACCCCAAATTTGTAGATGTATCTGGGTAATATCTCTTACATACAACAGCTATAAATTTGATTCATTCATTCATTGATAAATTAATAAAGGATATTTTTCAGAAACTTTGCTTCATTAATTTACCTATCTCTACTGTTCTTGACTTATAGCAAAATTGAATCCCAATGTTTACTGAAAAATCAGCATCTATTAGCTTAAATTGGCTGTGTGTGTGTGTGTCCACTGTCTATCCCCTATCTTCCATATGTTTCCAACCTATATAGTCCTGAGCTTTCTTTTGTACTGATATATTCTCAAAGTCTTTTTGAATGAAACTTGACTTCTTAGGACTTCTTGGCATAAGTTTTCTTATAAAGTATTCTTGCCAACAGAAAAAAAATGGTTTACCATGTTCTTTTTCTAATGTGTGCACATGTGCACATTTATTTCCAGTTTATCTTACAAACTTGGATTTTCCTGATGGCTTCTTATCCTATCCTATTTAAATCTGACCTTGCTTTGCTTTTTGAAGTCAGCCAAGATCACTTAGGTACTATCATCCATAATTATATTTAAAATAAAAGATTAAAAGCATGTGTTGATATTTTCATAGGAAATGATGAAAATGAAAGTATGTAGTGCAAACAATAGATACTCATATAAAGAGCATGCTTTGAAAACACTAAAATTAATAAATTTATTTACTGTGGAATCATATCTTTCGCATCTTGATTCACATTCCTTGGGTAATGTGCTAAATATAAGTGCCTCTTTCTTGTGGAGTAGATAGCATTGTAAAATATTTATGTTTCTTCCTGTAAATGCAATTCTTGCAATCCATAATTGTAAGAGAAACATACAGCAGAAGGTTGTGGAAAAGAGTGTCCCCAGTTTCTAATGGAAATGAAATTCCTTATATTACATCTACTATTCTTTTGGAAGAACCAGTAAAACATGTTTCCTTGGTATAGCTTTTGTAAGAAGATATTAATATTATACACCTTATATTACTATTCATCTTAGATTAAAAATACATTTTTGGATTACCCCAGAATATACAAGGTTTAAAAATGCTTAAGTTTTTAAATAGCATATCCACTTAGTCCAATGCAATCAGTCTTACAGGTTTAAAGATGCTTAAGTTTTTAAATAGCATACACCCTTAGTCCAATCATAGTCCAATCATGACTTAATCCAATACAATCAGCCTTATAGATCTATTGTGTGGATAAAAAAGAGAATCCATGCATGTTACGCTGTATGGAAGTAAAGCAGGAAGCAAGTGTAACATAAAGTTTGAAAAACTTGGTAGCTGAAATTAGAAGTAATTCTTCCTTCATTCTTTCTGAACATGTAAATCCAAACCTTGAAAAGGGGAAAATTAGCTCTGCATTCTTACTAATTCTTCCTCATTCCCATAACTGGCCCTCTAACAGAATAAAACTGTTTGCTTAATTGGACCATTCAGTCCAGAAACTATCTAATATAAGACTTCCCATGTGTTTAACGGCTTCTTTGTTGCCCTCTTTATTATTAGGTACATCAGGAGTGGGAAAACTTTTATTTTTCCAGTTGTCTGGAGCTTTCAGTGGGTTTTTTAAAATTATTTTGATAACCTTCCATTTTTTGTTGCTTTCAAGTGCTTTCAGGTCATTTAAAAGTTTATGTTCCTTATTTCATTTGTTTCATCATGTTAATTTACATGAAATTATGCTTTATCAAAATTCATCAGAGTGTTGTCCATTTCAGCCATGGATTCTGAGCCCCTTCTTTTGTGCTTTATGTTTTAATGGTATAATTTAGATTTAACAAGTACTAGTCCTGATTTCTTCCAGTTTTGGTTTGTTTAATAAAAATTAAGACAGGCAAGTCTTATTTTTTCCAGAATTGCTTGTATGAATTTTGTCTTAATAAGACTTTTATCTGAAATGGATTAGGCGTGGAAATCTTACATCTTTTTCTTCATTTTTCTACAGATCCCTGAGGATGGCAGCAGAAGCCAATCACGTCCATCCAATGCTTGAATTGGCAGAGGAGACTTGTGGCAAAAGGAATGATCATTCCAGGATCTCTCTAGAATATATAGGAACAAGTACAGATATTAAGGCTTACATGCTAAAGAAATTGAAGAAAAATTGCAGCTGTAGCCCAGCTAAAGCCAAAGATCTGCTTTTCAGTTTTCTCCCAGTACTGACGTGGCTGCCCAAGTACAAACTGAAGGAGTATTTCTTGGGCGACCTTATGTCTGGCATAATTGTAGGAATTTTGCTAGTTCCACAGTCCATTGCTTATTCCCTTTTGGCTGGCCAAGAACCTATCTATGGTCTATACACATCGTTTTTTGCAAGCATCATTTATTTTCTGTTTGGAACTTCCCGTCATATCTCGGTTGGCATTTTTGGTGTACTCTGCTTGATGGTGGGAGAAGTGGTAGACCGTGAATTACAAATTGCTGGGTATGATTCAGTATTGGGTGCTTCTAGCAATTATCATTCTGATATGAATGATCTCATAAATGTCACAATGGTGTCTTGGACTACCAATCAGACTTCACAGAAAATATGTGATAGGAGTTGCTATGCAATTACTGTTGGAGCAACTGTGAGTTTCATAGCTGGAATTTATCAGGTAAGAAATTGCAGTTAAAGGGGATCCATGTCATCTGATATCAGTTCTTTACCTTTTGGGGGCTTTGCAAGTATGCAAAATTGAAGATAGGTAGATATAAGAACTGTAGCTTAGATTTCTCTGTCCTGTATCCTACAGACATACAGGTAAAAAGTGTACTGGTAATAGTGAATAGATTGCAATTCTAAGAGCTATAATCTCAAAACAGCAGGAAGGGGGCCAATTCTGGAAGGCAATTTTAGTATTACATCTATACTTTGAATTAAAGGAATGAACATCTGTAATTCTTACAGATTGCACCAGGTTAGACTTGTATTTTGAAATTTATTTAGGAAAAATACTTCATATTCCCAAATTTAATTTAAAAATATTTTAGATACATGTTATATTGCTTGTTTTGCCCAGAAGTTGCATCATTGATCCTGAATAGAGATATGCAGTACTTGGATGTAAACCAGGTAGAGATGGTGTGCTTCATTCTTAATACCTTTTCATGATCTGAGGCCTTGTGGCTACCATACAATCGCAGGAAAAGATGCAGTTTCTTTAAGGAGCCACCAGTAGATATGACAAAGGTCCACATGCTAGATCTGATGAACCTTTTTTGTTTGTTTGTTTTATTGTGTATTTCCAATACTAAAGTTTTTTTCACTTTAGTAGGATGGACAAAGGATATTTATGAAGTGACTCTAGGGTTCTGAGCTTTTTTCCAATAGTTTTTATTAAGGATTATATTAAACATAAAAGAAATAGAGAAACCAGATACAAATAGGTAGATTTAGTTATAGCTGATATATGTAGATATGTGGAAAAAATCCTGCACAAAAAAGACAGCAAAAAAACTACCCCTTCCTCTTCATCCTCGGCAAGCATATACAACATCAGACAAATTTTATATCAAAGTAAACCTATGCATATCACAATTAGATCATGCACAGTATAAGGGTTAAGTGGCTTTTTTTAAAAAAATGGCAATCTTAAGAAGTAGAAATATATTTAAAAACAAACAAGAAATTTCTCATAATAATTAAACATGTTGAAGAACCTGAAACAAACACATAGCTATTTGTAATTCTGAATAGCATAATATATCAAGCTCTATCTAATAACATGTGCTTCACCTTTCAGCCTCATTTCCTTTGTAAATTCAGAAGTGTCATCTAATCATCTGCCTTTTTCTTCAGGTTGCTATGGGCCTCTTCCAGGTGGGCTTCATCTCTGTGTACCTCTCTGATTCTTTGCTCAGCGGATTTGTTACTGGCGCTTCCTTAACCATCCTCACCTCACAAGCCAAATACCTCTTGGGCTTAAACATTCCACGGAGCAGTGGCATTGGTTCTCTTTTAAATACATGGATAAACATATTCAGAAATATCCATACCACCAACATCTGTGACCTCATCACCAGCTGCTTGTGCCTTCTTGTTCTTATTCCAGCAAAAGAGTTAAATGAGCGGTTCAAATCAAAACTTAAGGCTCCGTTGCCCACTGAGCTTTTAGTGGTCATAATAGCCACAGTGGCTTCTCATTTTGGGAAGCTGAAAGAGAAATATGATTCCAGTGTGGCTGGACATATACCAACTGGATTTCTACCACCACAATCACCAGATTGGAGTCTGATTCCTAGTGTGGCTCTGGATGCAGTGCCCATAGCCATTATTGGCTTTGCCATTACTGTATCTCTTTCAGAGATGTTTGCCAAGAAACATGGTTATACGGTTAAACCCAACCAGGAAATGTATGCCATTGGTTTCTGCAACATCATTCCGTCTTTCTTTCATTGTTTCACAACCAGCGCGGCCCTTGCCAAAACTCTAGTGAAAGATGCGACAGGCTGCAAGACTCAGGTCTCTAGTCTCATCACCGGTTTGATCATCTTGTTAGTTCTTCTTGTGATTGCTCCCCTCTTCTATTCCCTTCAGAAATGTGTCCTAGCGGTCATCATCATTGTCAACCTCAAAGGAGCCTTGCGAAAATTTGGTGACCTGCCAAAAATGTGGCGGTTAAGCAAAATCGACACACTGATCTGGTTTGTAACTATGTTATCTTCAGCACTGATAAGCACTGAACTTGGCCTTCTTATTGGGGTCTGTTTTTCAATGATTTGTGTCATTCTGCGGACACAAAATCCAGAAGGACAGCTCCTTGGTCTGGTACCAGACTCTGAAATCTATGAACCCCTTTCTGCCTATAGTGGCCTTCAAGTTGAGCCAGGCATCAGACTTTTTCGCTTTGAAGCACCAATATACTATGCAAACAAAGAGAACTTTAAGTCCTTGCTGTACAAGAAGACTGGAGTCAATCCTTCATTGGAACTGGCAGCAAAGAGAAAGCTAGAAAAGCAAATACATACTGAAAAATCAGATGGAGCCAGTGGAAAACAGGCAGAAACTTTGGTGCAGCTTGTCGCTCAGCAACTCACATTCCATACACTAGTAATAGACTGCTGTGGAGTGCAGTTCTTGGATACAGCAGGAATCCATACACTCAAGGAAGTCCAAAGGGATTATGGGGAAATTGGCATCCAGGTGCTGCTGGCTCAGTGTAATCTCTCTGTGAGGGACTCCTTGCAGCGAGGGGAGTATGTTAAAAAAGGAGAGAAGCATTGTTTCTTCCACAGTGTGCACCAAGCTGTGGAATATTCATTGTGTACATATAAGCATAATGGCAGCTGTGTCTCTGAAACCTAATGTAAGTAGAAGCTTCCTATTTAATGAGACTAATGATGCTGGGCATTATATATACTGTTATCTCACCAAGTTGTAAAGGGCTTTTTTTTTTTTTCACATGCTGTTGATCATACAAGATTGTAAAAAAATTCATTTTGTACCTTTCGTTTTGCTCTGCTGAATTGCGCACTGAGAAAATGGTGATGAATCCTATGCGTGAGTGATAACGACACACATTAGTTGTACTTGGCCAGAAGAACAAATACTCAAAAAGTTTAATGTGTGTGCATCACAAAGTGGGCCCTTCTGGTTTGGATGCTTTTAGGGCCAAAAATCTTCATCCCACACTGCTGGGCAGGTAATGTCACCACCGTTCAGGGTGTACCTTTCATGGAAGGAAAAATTTGTGTTTCTTTATGCTTGTACCCTCTCTTGCAACTCCATTGGTGCCTCTCAGGAATGCTTCTGAATTATGTGGGTGTGTCATGAATACACTATTTGGGGAGGAAATATCTCAGAAAAATGGAAATCCATCCTCATTTGGGGCATTTCTCCCCGCTTTAGAAATCTCACCCCCCACATTACCAAATGTGGAATAAACCGTATGTCAAATTAGGTGGCCATGGGAATAGGTGTGTCATTTGAAATACAGGTGGTCCTCGACTTACAACAATTTTGTTTAGTGACCATTCAAAGTTACAGTGGCACTGAAAAATGTGACGACCATTTTTCACAGTTACAACCTTTCCAGCATCCCCATGATCATGTGATCAAAATTCAAATGCTTGGCAACTGGTTCATATTTATGACCATTGCTGTTCCCAAGGTCATGTGATTACCTTTAGCAACTGACAAGTAAAGTCAATGGAAAAGCCAGCTTCACTCAACAACTGGGTTACTAACTTATCAACTGCAGTGATTCACTTAACAACTGTGGCAAGGAAGGTTGTAAGATGGGGCAAAACTCACTTTAAAATGTCTCACTTAACAACATAAATTTTAGGTTCAGTTGTTGTAAGCCGAGGACTACCTGTACACTGTATAGAACACCTACAAATAGTTCTCAAGTTATAGCCATATTATACAGTAGATACTTAGTCTGTTTAGACTTTATTTATGAAATAGAAATCCTAACTCTTCTTTCAGCAAAACTAATGGATGGTGGCCAAACTAGTTAAAATATGTTAGTTCTTTGTCTGTGCCTCAAAACAATTAGTTATTACTATTAAATAAGGAATCTGATGAATAATCATTTTTACAGGTAAACTATAAACTTTCATTGTGCTTTACTTTTTATGTGTCCCTCCAAAAACTTTGCAGAAATAAGATCATTGTTTTGAAAATCTCAGATATATGAAATTCTAAGTGAAAATGAAAGCATTATCATCACATCTTAAAGAGTCCTTTCCATTCATTGTTAACAGTGCTACATCTGTCATAAAAGGGTATTGAGGGTTTTTGAGATTGGTAGAAAAGATTTTTGATAAGGAATCCTTGGAATTCTATATTGCAATTGTTAGTTTTCTTGGCACAAAAGAGAAGGGTTGTAACCAATACTAAAGAAGAATTCCTTTACAATCTCTTCTGGAAAATGGAAATCTGTCATAGATAACAGCAAAGATAAAATGTCTATTGAGTTACAGAGTTTCTTGTCAAACTGATTATTTGCTGCTTCCCAGATGCATTTCTCAATTAGTTGTATCTGAATATAGGAATTAAGTTCCACGAAATATATAGAAATTTGATATTAAGAAATCTGAATGAACAATTTTAAAAATATTTCATTGACCTAGAAACTTTCCCCTTTTTTTCTGAGTTATTTAGGGGAAAAATATTAATGGACTTGAACAAAAGACATGGATATTCATAAGATTGATAGCAGTCAGAATCTTCTACATAAACACTTCCAAAAACGGTCATTAGGATGCCCATCAATAAAGCACAAAGGTATTATTTGTCTTCTATGTTCATTGGCATCCTGAAGGGTTCATGAAACCATAGCAACTAATAGCTCTTGACACGGGATACTTTTCCTGTATGACTCTGCGTAATCCAGAGATAGACAGCCAAGTGTCTGGCAGTGCCACAGCATCAAGAATTCATCTGTGGGTAGCTGCTAAACTCTGTATCCCACTTGGATTTTTTAAAAAAAATTAAATAGAATGCCTCTAGAGCAGGGGTGTCAAACTTGCGGGCCAGATACGTCACACGTTGGCCATGCCCACCCTGGCTTTAGTGAAGGAAAAAAGTTGCAATAAGTCACATGACAATGTGGCGCCATGAGTTTGACACCAGGGGTGGGTTCTACTTACCTTTACTACCAGTTCACAACGGGGCCGCGCACGCATGCTCTTCTGCACATGCACAGAAGCGTTCTGATGACATTGGGGCAGTAGGCGGAGCTTCCCTCCGGTTTTACTACTGGTTCTATAGAACCGGTCTAAACCGGGGGCAACCCACCACTGTTTGACACCCCTGCTCTAGAGCAAGAAAAGGTAGAATACTATAATTTGTTTATAAATAAATGTTTGTAACTGGTTGTGTCCATCTTAACAGCAGTTTTGTGAGAGCACCCATGACATTCTCTGAAAATTCCAAACATGCCTAACAGCTGAAAAGTCTTATTTAATCAAACATCTAAAAACCACCTAAACTCTGGAAACCATGGTAATATTAAATCTAATGTTGTGAATTAAGGGAGACAAAAGAAATGCCTCTTGCCGCTTTTACATGCAACTTGTAATTTATGACTAAACCTCTAGGGGGTGTAGTTTACTAGAGAAGTACCTGCTTGTTTTGTTTTTTTTTAATGAGTAAGAATTAACCATGTCTAACTTCAAAAGATAGAGTAAATTGCAGTGGAGATTGAATGCATTTAGTTGTTTATGTTTTCTGGCAGGTAATAGTGCCTTTTCACTGTTACTTCTGTATTCTATACTTCTTATATTCTATAATAGAATATAATTTTAGGAAAAGGTTTCTTGGCTTTTTAAAAATTACCATAAAATCACTTTTATTCTTTGAAAATCTTTGATTTTGTGAAGTACTATGAAACAATATAGTGAAGTCTTATTATTAAGAGAACAATGTACATACTTCTCTCATAGCTACTAAAAATACCATTCACAACTGGAAATCATACTGCAGTAAACATAATTGACCGAAATTGGTAGATCAGAGGCCTTTTTAAATAAAAGACCCACAAATCTACCAATTTCAGTACAGTATCTGGTTTACTAGACTGGTTGGAAAATCATGTGGTCTGTCTTGTGACCATTCCTTCCTCTGTTGCTATTTCAACTGTTTCGTGTGGTTTTCAGTTAGTTTGTTAAAGAACTGCAGATATATTATCTCAGAATTAAAGGTCTTCCTCATTTGAAATTGCATTATAAAAAGTCATAGTTAAGTAGTTTCTACTGCCTTCAGATTTATTTATTTTTAGCGTATGGCATGTGTTAGCCAAGGATCACCGAGGTGACTGGCTGCCTCTGTGAAAGGAATGTTTTTGGGCAGTGTTATCTTACCCATGGGATACCTGAATGCCAGTAGGCAATTGGGGGAGGCTCCTTTCCTGTCCCTATGTGGAATCGAGCCACCGAGCTGCAGACTTTAGCGGAGTGCAGGCTCAGCATCTTACCACAGCCTTCAGATGTATTACATTCTGATGGAAGCTTTTTGATTCACTTGAGGTTGTTACTTTTTTCCTTTGAAATATTTTGTTCTTAAATAAATGCATTCTAGGGAGACAGCAGACTATGCTATTTTCACAGGAAATAAGTGTATTTGTCAACCAGTCATCTCTGAAAGGGTCATAGATGTAAATCTATTCAATGTTGCATCCAGAGAAGAGAAACTGCTACTAGTAATCTACCAGGATTTTCCAAAGTATGTATGTATGGAAAATAGTCTTAAGGGCTAAATTTTCCATGTAGCTTATATTTAGGGACAGAAAAATTCAACAGAAAATTAATAGGCTCACATGTTTCACAAAGGCATGTTAACAGCATTTTTTGCCTTAGTATGTGATATTAACAGCTACTGTAGTTACTGTGTAAACTAGGATTAAACAAAAAGTATGGCTTAGTGCAAGTGCCAACCTGCACTAAATGCAAGTGCCTACCTAAATAAAATTAATCTGAATGAAGAACGGTTAATTTTTAATGAGAAATATTTTTTCCTGCTTAATCTTTTAAGATGAAATGCAAGTTAATTTTACAGAGAATATTTCTGTATGCTAACAGCAAGAGAAATTAACATCCATCAGACTTCAGTTATAAATGTGGAATCTTTCTCCCGCTTAGAGATGCTGCTTAAAGCTGTTTCTGTTGCTTCTATAATGTTTAATACACTATAAATGCAGGCATTCAATAATTGAATGTATTTTAAAATGATATTTAAAATCATACTACTAATTTTATTTTGCATTTTACAAGATTGTAATCATAAACGTTGTAAGATTCCTGCTTGAAAATTTTCCCTTAATTGCCTTGCCACATTCTTACATAGCCATAAGTAATTTTGATATTTGCTTTTCCGCAAAAACATAAAGATATGGCCCAGAGCAAAAGGGGCATATAGTGATTTGCAATGAATATAGCCAATATTTTTCTCTGTCTGCTTTACTAATTTATTTTTTCAGAGGCTGTTGCATTTGCAAATTTTTGAAAACTGCTACAATTTCCCCCCACATGGTAGGCTCCATATCTTTATTGTCGTACGCAAAATGCCTTTTGCAGAAATTTTACGCTTTATTATCCTAATAGTAGTATATTCATGTGTGCCTTTCTTTTATCATCTGCCACCACAGACATATTTAAAAGACTCATAAAAGCCCCTGAGGGGAAAAGAACAAGATTAGCTCTGGGGACTGATGAATCCAATGGATACAATTAAAGTAGTTCAAATACCACTGTGGAGCTACTTGTTTCCAAACCACTTTTTCTCTGGATAAACTCCATCAGATGATTGGTGAAAGATAACAGTATGAGAGAGTGGGTGAGATCACATGTTGATTCTCTTACTATAATTAGGAAACTCAGCTGCTACAAATGAAGTTGCTTGGGTGGTTGTTTTTTTTTTTTTTTTTTTTTTTTTTGGCAACTAATTGTATGTATTCCAGATGTTATCATTACACATTGTTCTTAGGTATTTCAGTGAGAAGTGATTTAAATGTATAATCATTATTATTTGAAGAGCTGTGTGCTTTATTAGGAACAACAGTATGCCAATTGAAACTAAATGTTTAATTGCAGCTCTTTGGATTGCTGTTACTATTGGCCACTGTACATTGGTATGTTCTTTTTAAATGAGTGTAGTTCATCTTAAATTCTGTTGTAATGTCATTATGTACAACTAAAAATTGGAAGTGTTTTTTTTTACTTTATACCATTGATATTTTTTTTTAATGGTAGACCTCCAGATATCTGGATACAATCTACATCTTCATTTATGTTACTCTTCTTGTTACAGATTAGGATAATAACATTTTCACAGTTGGGCTGCATTTAATATTTGGATTGGGAGAAAGGAAAGGCCATAGGGACAGGATTATTGGGCAAAACAGAAGGGCTGTTTCATATATATCAGAAGGGCTGAGATTTTCTCCCTTGGTTTTGTAAGAAATATGCTGTATATTTGCTTTTTATAACAGGTGTAAGTCTACCTCAAAGACCTATAGTGCTGTGTTTCTCAACTATCAGTTCTCCGCAATCACATTGTGCGATTAAACCATGGCTTTAGGAGCCCCCTCCCATTTGGGAGAACTTCAAATGTCCTATGAGGTCATATTTAGTATTGTAAGATGTGGTAATAAGGTAAAATCCTATTCAAAATCCCCAAAATTTGTAATAGTTGAGAATGCTGAGAATTATAGCCTAATGTTACTTACAGGTTGCTGATTTGCAAAATGTTGGACCAATTAATATTTCAAATTAAAATTCTAAATTAGAGTGAAACTAATCATTAAAGAGGCATGGAGCTGCTGTTCCTTAAATGTTCTTTTTCTCTTTTGTCCAGTAAAATGCAATTTATGGCAATGAATAATATATTCTTCTGCCTCTACCACATACTTTTTTGAATGGACCACAAAAGTTACATATTGCTGCTAAATAATCACTTAGAATCTTTTAAACATTTTCATGATGTTCATTTCGTAAAAGTTTCAAAATTCTGTAAAAGGGCTAAAATATAATAAAATATTATAAGACCATCAAAAGTGGACTATATAAATCACCAATCAGATCTTTTGGGATTTTCTTAAAGAAAATGTCAACTGGATATAATCATTGACTTCTTTGGAGATTGCTCTGCTCAGGAAAAAGCCATCCCTGTTCAATATTAGAGCTGCAGAACAAAGCTAGGAATTGAGATTAAATAATGAACACTCTGATATTTTAATTTTGTTCCTATAAGAGATTAATTACATGTCTAGCACCCATGCTATAAATTATTTCTGCTTATTTCATTTATCTATCATGACCTTTACAAGGTTTTTACAACTTGGAATCTAAATAAAGCTTCAGAGATTTCACTTAAGAGCCCTGAAAATTAGTATCTCATTCCTCAAGCACTTTCATTGCATTTGCCATTTACATGTCATAGGACAGCTTGGATGAAGAGCATGGAACATTATGTTCTAGGAAAGT